TTCACTGCTACTTCTTTGTAGCTTGTCTTTGTAGAACCCGAAGAGCTTTTGAGAACCTATTTGCTCCTTTGCAGGGAACAGTTTTCTGGTTGGAGGAAAAAAATCCGGGTCCAATGGCCACTTATGCACAAAAACTGTCACTGCTGACTCGATCCAACATGACAAGAATACAGATAGGCTTTTCTTTTCTTGGAAGAAAGCTTCTCTTAGCTCTCTCCACTTTGATACAAACAATTTTTATTCTTACATTTTCACATTTGGATACTCTACTGCTTACCCTGTGGTGATATACTCTGTACTACATATGACAGACGAGCTGCTGGTATCCTCAGACTTGAGCTACACTGATGCTCTGCCCTAATTTCCAACATTATTACACAACACTGCATAAGCCCATCAGTTTGAAGTCAAATGACAAATGAACTTGGAAGCCTGAAGCAGGTATATTTTGCAACAGGACAAGCCGCAGCTTGTTGAGACACTGATCCACCTATCATTGAGGCTCTCCACTGACTTTGGCACTTGCTGGCCCAGCCCTTAATCCTATAATAACCCCATCCTGCAGCAAAGGCTGCAGAGAACGTTCTAGAAGTTTCTCAAAGTAAGCTATTAAACTACTAAGATATTAACAAACATATTTGTATAGTAAATCTCACACTAGCCTCCCTGAATATAATCTGTAACCTTAATGATAGTTGTTAACTTATCATTGGAAACTAGAAGAGGAGAAAAAGTTTAAAGGACAGAATTTTGTAAACTTCCCTTACTCCCTGTGCCCCACGCTTGCCCTGCTTTAATGCACCTCCTGGCTGCCACCCACTCAACATATCCTACTGAAGCACAGCAGTTTCAAAGTAAAAGGGGTTTTAGCTCTTTCGCCCTGATCTTACAAAACGTTAAGATTCACAGCCACTGAGTTCCTTAAAAATCCTAGTGAAGAAAAGAGGAAGGAGAAGGAAGGAAATCAGTGTAGCAAATATATTTGAAATCAAACAGAAATGAAGAAGCCATCTTATGAAGCAAACACAGGGTGCTTCACAGTAGAGTTCACACACAAGCAGGAAGAGTGGGCCATCAAATGCTCCATTACAAATCAAAAGCACTGAAAATAACACAAGAATGTTTTTGAGAAAATAAAGCTATTTGAAAAGAGACACTATAATCATATGAAATCTACAGAAGCACAGTTGGAAACTATATTGCATTTTAACAATAAGTGTCTCTACATGGAAAGTAATAATTAAGAACAGACTCACTTTTTTCAAGTGCAATCCTCCCCTCCAAGCTTACCTATGTCCTGTCCTAACTGCTGCCTTTGAAATAGAAGTCTTTACATGTATTTCCTTGTCCTAAAAGCACACAGACCTCAGTGAGTATCATCCTTTAAACCCAGCTCCCACATCCAATGCCACTCACACAAGCTGGTGTTGAAGCAGTGCCCTGTATGGGCTCTGAGGGCAAAGATGCCATACAGCAGTTGGCACCACCCAAAGCCAGCATGTGCAGCAATAACAGCCACCTTGCTTCAACAGGGCTTCATCTGGTGCAACTGCATTACAGCTAGGAGCAATGTTTCCAGGAGAGAAACAATCATTAGAATGACAAGTTTGAGTATTATAGTGCTGAAATTTTCCACAGCCTCTGCAATGTATAACCTGTCATTACTGGAGACAACATCCAGTTTTCACAAAGGCTTCCAAAGAGTACTAGTACTCACCATCAAGGCATTATTTAGCAGGATTTTAAAACAGATTAAATGCCTTGTCACAAAGGATAAAGTACGCAGGAAAATTCTGCTGAAGAACTTGCAAGCAGTTTCCAGATACTTTGCTTAGTTGTTGAGATAACTTGGTGCAGGCCTGTCAGGTAAGCATTTTCTTGTCCCCCTTTGGATTTACTCACATTCAGAAAACAAGAAAATGTCCAAAAACATTCAGAAGGATGAGTTGGCTCTGAAACTTTCAGTATTTTCACACAGTATCAGATCAGCAGGGTGCCAATTCTAGCCCACCTTTGGTTTCTTCAGGTAGAACATAACAAGAGTGCTTAAATGCCCATTCTGAAAATTTCAAATTCACTGAGAAATGGTATTTTGAAACTTGTCTTTTTAGCATTGGCTTGGACATCATATTCCTTCTGCATTTAATAGCAAGTGCAGAAAGTTACAAGGTTACTCTTCTAAAGCACTCCCCACTTTGTGTGACAGTCCTCCCTCCACTCTTCCAGCAGCTGCAAACAGAAGGGTCCTTCTGTAACACTGCACCAGTTACCTATTCTCTTCTGCAGCACCACGACAGCTAAGCGCCCACGGTCATCCTTGATGTCTAACATTTTATGTACCTGAAAATAACTTTCTCTGTAAAGAAGTATTTCATACCTGTCAGAAAGAGACTACTGACCAAATTTTGCAGAGAACCTCTGCTTTTCACACAGCTGCAGGACAAGCTTTCAAAACACTTCCCAGGTTACAAGTTTTTGAAATACCCCTCAGATTTGCTCAGCCTGTTGGAGGGAATTCTCCATCTTCCTTTCTTTACCAACATATCCAAGCCCTGGTACTGGTAACCCATGGGTCCGGCAAGCTTGTCCCAGTCATCGCATAGGTGTTACAAGTCATTTCAATACTAGCATGTCAGGCTCCAGTGTTCTTTATTAAGGAGAGCCACAAGCTCTATTGATTCAGTAAGAATGTACTTCAATGGTTTGTATTTAACATCTTCAATGAAACCACAAGGAGCAGAAATTCAATTTTAAAAGGCTACACTTTTCTGTTGAGGTGAATCTGCTAGAGATGATACAGCAGCCATAGCTGACCTACACTAAACTCCCAGACAGCCTCTTCAACTAATTCAAGAAAAGTGTTAATTTTGAGGAAGTGGAATGCAATTCTTAAAACAACTAGATAACGATCTTCTTCAGATATATTAAAATATGATGGAAGAAGAATGGAAGGTGAACTCCAAACAAACTGGGCCAGAGGATGGGGGGAATACAATATGAAGTAAAAGATGTAAGAGAAAGGTTCCAGTTTCCAGAACAGAATCAATTGCATTCCCAGGAAAAAAATACCTTCCACAACAGAAGCTACAGAGAATAGGGGCTTGGGAAGAAAAAAGACTGGAAGAACTAACACAATCAAAACATAACTATTTGTCAATTCTCAACAGTATTGTCACCAGTGTCTACACCATCTCAAACACAGACTTGGGCAGACTGGCTCTATTCTTCAGTGTGTGTCTGGAAGACTGAAGATACACATGCTTCCCCACTTCTGTGAAATATCGAGACCTGTACGGTGAACAATAATTATTTCCAGCTTCACATATAATCTAAGAACTGGTAAGAGTGCTGAAGCAGCTTCACTTTTAATCTAGGAAACGGTAAGAGTGCTGAAGAAAGGGTTCCAAAGCCTGAAATGCAATGGTGAAGTTATAACATACAACAGAATCTGTGAAAATTGTGTCTTAATTTGTGGCATAGATGTTGCAGCTTTTAACCATATGAATGACAACTTATCACCACATTCATTGCAATACTGATAGCACAAGAGAAAGCTGAAATTTCCTCTTCTGTTTTACTTATACTGCCTCATGTTTAAGCTGCCTCTTTAAAAAACAATTACGCCAAATTTGTTACTGAAATGGGTATGGTTTAACTTAGGTGATTCTCTGTTTGCCCAGATAAGCCACTTTTTTCAGAAGTTGCATTTGGCACTGTGCCATAGACATCAACCTCAAGTAAATCCTTATTACACAGATCACTGGCCTGAATCTACTGATACTCTGATAATCTTGGCCATCAATCCTGCTGTCAGGCAAGCTCATTAAATCCCAGACGTGGTATACACAATTTTAGTTGAGAAGAAGTCATACAGCTTTCAAAATGGCCATTTAAAATTTTCTACCATACCTTTCCTCAAAAAAATTAAAGACCTATTCCTACTTCTCTGACACTTGATACCAAACCCAAAACTATATTCCTTTAAGGTGAGGGGTGGAAAAAAGCCACACACCAAAAGCACCTTAACCAGCTGACTCCTACTTCTTAAACACATGAAACCAAATAATTTGTGCAATTGTTTGCTTTTTAAAAACAGTTTCAAGAACTTGCAGCAGGGCAAAACTTAACTGTGATTTTAAGCCATATTTAAACAACTATAAGCCTTATATTACAACCTTACGAATACACTACCTGTGACATAATAACTGTTACTATCAAAACATTCTGACATTGGTATTGCTAAATGAACATCACCACACTGATTTTTATGCAGCTACGACACCACTAGGTCTGCCACTTCTCAGAGATTCAATATTTTTAAATAGATACTCCTTTCATGAACTTGAGCCTCAGAAAACTTAACCTGAAAGTTTCATAAACGCATCTGGGATTTTTTATGTATTAGAGAAACCATGACTAAAAAGGCATGGATTTTGATTGTGGAATATTTTTTTTTTTTTTTTTAACTTTTGATCAGATGACAGAGCTGAATGACCAGATCTGTATGCACTTTGATAATCCACAGCAACATCAGGAGGTAGCTGTACTTATTTCAAATAGTTGTTCCTTTTGTTAATGGAAAGAAATCATACTTAGTTGGGTGAGTTACTTCTTTGTTTTAAGTACTCTCCCTTGTTCAGGAAGAGGGTTCCTTCAGCAGCTCAAAAAGCCTGTACACAAGGACCTTCCTGGGTCTAACTTTGATTCATAAATCAAAAGCAAAATAAACCAAAATCTATCCTAATGAGGTGGCAAGCCCCAGAAGACACAAATGTTAGCAGGAAGTTACTACAGCACCAACACAATGGAAAAGGACTTACACATAATTTATTATTCCTACCTTCCAAATACTTAGAGACATTCTCCATTCGAACTGCCGTATGGTAAAGAGAATGAACAAAAAGACACAACATTTAGCTTTAAAATCATTTATATAAAACATGCCCCAAAAAATCTGGAGTTGTGATTATTAGTAGTACAAAGAAGTTGTTAATCCGAACCTGAGGTTAGGTCAGATCCTTTGTTCTTTTTATCTTCTACTATTTCATAGAACGGGCCTATTACTTGGAGCAATTCTTCAACTTTGTCCGTCATTGGCATACTCTCAAGAATCTGCACAAATCCAAAACATGAAACATCTCATGAAACAGCATGTCAACTGTAAAGCTGAGCAATTAAGTCACTTTACGTGTTATTCTATTTTTAATATTTTTTAAATTAAATGAAAACAACATAAGCCTAACTTACCAAAGAGTGGTAACTAGCTATATTAGCTTTTTTTAGGTGAAGAGAAGATGGGAGAGCTAATGCATTTGCCACCACTAAGGGACTACCTCTGTACAGTACTAACAGAATCTGGAACTGGAATCTGTTATTTCAGCACTTTGGAAGTAAACCAGCTCAAAGTTCAACAGGCTGCTGTTATTTAATGCAATTTATTTTAGAGACAAGTCTTCCTACAGAGAAAATGAAACTAAAAGATTTTTTTCTTAGAGGATTCCTCACATTTGTCAAACCCTGCCATCTTCAGTGGAATGTAAGGAGCAGATCAAAAGTCCTGGGTCTTCAAAACTGGGTCCATCAAAACCCAAACAACAAAATGGACAGAATGCAACAAAACTGGGACACTGCAAAGACATACTTAACAGAGCAAACTAGCACTAAATTCTGCTCTTCAAGTCATTTGGAACTCTTCCTTTGATAAAAATTTCTTCATTTTAAATTATGAAATGAATAGCTTTGATCATTTGATAGGATGCTAAATCTTAAATCTATGACAGGCTGAACAGAAGAGATTCAATAACTGAATATTATTTTTAAAGCATACAATATTATTGTCCCATTCTAGTTTAAGTCCTTTCAGCCAAGCTTTCTGCTGATAGCTTTGTTCCTCTTTCATCCTCTATTTTTTTTTTAAAGAGGCAATAGCTACAGGAAAAAACTCAGAAGCAAACTAGCACCTATAATACACCACCTCCTCCAGAACAGCACCAAAAAAGCAAAAGATTGAGGTACAAGCCGCCACAGAACATGCTGCTCTAAAGCACCAAGCACAACACAAAGTTGTAGAGGGAAGAGCTACAGCATTACTTCACAAAGCAGGAGCTCCATTCAGGCCAGCATGGAACGAGTCAACACTTGCAAATTGATCAAGGATACCAAGAGACAAGAATCCCATCGAACTGCAGTTTCATTGCCACTTCTCTGATCTATTCAGTGTATATAATTCATTCCATATTTGTTAGATAGATATGTTCAGAGTTTCAGTGCTCAGGTACAGAGCTGGATATGAACCAGAGTTTTGTGATTTTTATTTTTTTTTTTTAGCAGTAATAGCATTGAGAGAAACAAGAAATGCATTTTAGAATAAAACTTTTATTTGCTATGTATTTACTTCTATAGTCTGCACTATAAACAGCTTCATATGTGCAATTCTATGATGTCTGTACATAACAGCTCTGCTATTCTATACAGACCTCAATATACTCGCTGCACTTGAGCAATTCTTAGAATGTTACTGCAGTTTCTGTTAGGTAAGAGTTTTGTAACTGCTAGACTTTAGGTGAGCATGAAAAGAGCAAACACACCCATAAACAAAACCAACTGTTTACTTATATTAGCCACTTGGCATAATATGGAACCTTAAAACTTGAAAGTGCAAAAGAAGTTATTATGTACCCTAAATTACTCTCTTCTTTGGATGTCAGATAACTGATATATGAAGGCTCTTGTTTGAAATCAGACACACCATACAGTCTTAGCCCTTCTTCACGCCAAGTTATCACTAATTTCTAATACATAACAAAACAGTATCTCTGAAGTGTAAAGTAAACAGAATTGCAATATAAAATTTCAGAAATGCTCCTTGGAAGATAAAGTAACCTTAAAAAAAATGCACCTGAGCTCAGATTCATCTTAGCTATGACTAAGACATGTTTGGTCATCTCCCACCGGCACCTCAAGACCTCACCCAGACACGCTCCTCACCAGCTGTGATTTTCAAGGCAAACAAGTTTACAACAAAAGTATCTTGGAACAGGGCCACCTGATGCACATAGAGCACAAACACAATGTGCAAATGCCAGGGACATGCCCCAGGGGCTGGGGGGAACATGGCAATCTCACACACCCTTAAACACAGCCCCATGGTATCAGCCACAGCACGACACCCACACTAACACATGAGGATTAGTGCAGTATGTGCTGATAGAACAACCTAGTGGATGCATTTGAAATGCATTTCCACTGACATTTCAAGTAGAATCAATCAGGTTGGAAGAGCTGAAGCTAGAATTTCAAATGAGAGCTGAAACAGCACCAAAACAGGACAGATTCCTCAGTTCCAAAGCTGAGCAAGGCAAGAAGTCATTTGCTCTCCAGCCCCTACATGGAAGCTGTACAGAGGCAGAATTTTTGTGCTTCAGTAGGGTCAAGTAAGTAGACTTCCTCACAGGAGGCTTTCTAGGTTTGGGTTTTTTTAGAACAAACACTGACGTTTCACTTAGTTTCAGTGTCCTGACCAAACCAATTACTGCACTGAAAAAAAAATAAGGTACTCCACTGAAGCATTAACCTTTTGAATCCAAGATTTACAATGAAGCACTAAATCCTGTGGCACCCATTCAAATGGAATTATTACAATTCAGTGGGACTTTTGACCAAATTAGTAATATTTATTTGTCCTTCTGTGTTTTCTGGAGTGGTTTACTTTTTATTTTAAAGCAGCTACAGTAATATCAGCAGGGACTAAATTACCAAAATTACAGATAGGAACAGTAGTCAGACTCCATCTCCTTGCCTAGTAACTTTTTTGTTTTATCAATCATTAAACACATTAAGTATTTAATGTCAAGACAGCAGCCTATGAGGAAAAGAACAGTATCCAGAGTATAACTTACATTTTCCCTCCTTGATGCTAACCTCATTATACTAATAGATTATGATTATAATTTTATCCAGATTGACAGTAAATAATCTCTGAACTGGAAAAGCCACCTAAAAGGTCTTCAGTAAAAAGACTGCAGTGAAAAAGATCAGCTAATAAAAGACAAGAAACTTTAATTCTGTTTACTTCAGTTAATGGTGCAGTTCCTGGTTAATAGAGTAACTATGACTGTTCACAAGTTACACATCTCCTCCAAAAAAGACAGACCAAATGACTCAATTCTAACCGTTTGACTGCAGATAACATACAAGAAATATTTTCATGACAAGTACAGAAGATTCAGGTTGCTGAGCTCTTCTTGAAAAATGAAAGATGATCAAGGTTACAGATTTGATTACAATTATGTCTCCAGTCACAAGAATGAGACTCTCGCTCCTGAAGCCCTTCTGGAGGGTTGTTTTTCTTCCTTTCCAAGATGAGGATCACTTACCTTTCTCAGCTCTGGGAAGTGAGGCACTTTGCAGTAAATCCACCTTTCTTTTGCTGTACTTGAAGTTCCACTGTCCCTTTACCATGATTTCAAAACTTCATTTTCTTTAAAGTCTGTCATTTAAGTTTCATATCAGCTAGAGCTCTCACGTTTCTCTGAAAACAACCCATATTCTATAGCTTTGGAAGGAACTACATCATTTTCTTCTCCCCATGGGCCAAACAGCATAGTACCGAAATTAACAGTTCATGTAGGGTATAACTCATTTGGGGCTTCAACAGTAGTAGTCAGCAAGAACCTCCTTGTGTTCCCCAACTTATTTCTAGAATATTTGTTCCAGAAGATCCCTCTCACTCATTAGTAAACTTACCTTTTTCATTTCTTCAACATAGGCTATCATGGCTTCTTCTTTGGACATGTCTCCCAAGGCACTCCAAGCATCCCTAGGAAAGAACATCACATATATATTCAGTATCTTCAGGGCCAACATAGGGGGTTTTTTTTCAGCCTGGCCTTAAGTAGGTCAGTTATGCAATCACCAAAATTTCTCTGATACAAATAAAATGCAACAATGTTTCACACTTATTTTTAAAGTCCAAATTTATATATTTGCTAGGATAATCACACAGTGCTACATCAACAAAGAAGCACCAAAGTGAGCAGCCTGGGGACTGAAAAGTTCCTCACTGACCAGCTATGATCTTGTATCCAGTAAGATGTTAACAAGTCCAGATACAAGACATACATTTCCCTTTTGATTAAGTGGATTTTTCTAAGACTCTCTGCTGCAGAAGAAGAGCAGGCATGGACACTTCAGCCAGTATTTGCAAACAGTTGCCAGCAAGTTAGAACAGGGTACACAAAAAATCTTTCCTTTTTGAGTTTACCAACTGGGGAAGGACACATCAGCCTAGTAGGCAATTAGTTTAACCATCATCCCTGGTTACCACAACAGCTACATATAACCTAAAAAAAAATTCCCCCCTCTCCAACTCTGCAATACAGAAAACTCCAATCAAATTTATGTATATTGCACAAGAATACAGACAGCAACAAAACATTCCACACTTGATTTGACACTGTCCCTTCGTCTTGCCAGCGCAGCTGCCCCACTTACAGCAAAGCCCCAGGGTTAGGGGCTCACATTTCAGCTACAGCCAGCCAGGGGGGTGGAAGGTTACTGCCCCAGTCCTCTGCAAAGATACACCCTTCACCCTGACCTGGGTAGATGGGGGGGAAGGGGAAGTCAAAGGAATCATTTCACACATCCCATGAAGACCATGACTACAAACCCAGCAATAATACGTGTTTTTCAGGACAAATAACTGTTAAAATACAATAAGCAAGGCGTTCACATGGCTTTTCAAACAGATTTTTAGCAATTTGGTGAATGAGAATTTTTCTCAGCGTAAGGAAAATAGACACTGAAAAACCCTGCCACGGAGCAGAAACACCAGAAAGACATAAACCAGACCTCTCCCCAAGAGCTTGAAGCTACATTGTTGGCTGTCAGTGAGCAGTTATTGAGCACTTATTCTCAACACTTGAGAAGGAATAATTCCAGACACTCATCCACATCCACATCATTCATTCTGCAGAGCATCTACAATTTCATTCTACAACATGGGATAAACACTACAGAGGTACCTTGATGGTTCTTGCCCAAGAAAAACCTGCCCACCTGCAGAACCCAGGGGAATGTTTTCACCTGCAACTCTGAGAAGTTATAAATTATCTGAGCTAGAAAGTTGGAACACAAGAGAGAAAATGAATTCAACTATCAAAGGTTGTGAGTGTTCTTTTATTTAAGAGAGATAGAAACTCACTAAACTCTTTCTTCAAAAGCCATTCTTTTAAACATCTCCAATCCAAGCATTAAGAAAACCAAAACAAAACAAAATAACAACTCATGAAAAGTTACCATTTATATCTACCAATCGGGTCCCAAAATCCAGGTCGTGGAATGTTACAGGGTCCTTGGGTTGCTTGCTTATAAAAGCTATAGAACTTTAGCATCATTTCATTCGTTGGCTGGAATGAACCTAGTGAAAAGCATTTTAAAATACAATCAAATTGTAATCAAGAATATTAACTAGTATTTTACAAGCATAGCATTTCTGTGAGAAAATTGCCTGCAGTTTGCTACAGCATGATTCACAGCAGTACAACATAAGTCAACATTGACATTGGAAGTGAACATCTTCACTTCCCCTGCGATGAACCAGCACCACTAACAATATTTACTTTACAAACAGAAAATTTCAGCTTGAGTTTAAGGACTATAACCTTTACTACTCATAAAGTCAGATTACACATAAAAAAAGAGTAATAAGTAACATAGAGCAAGTGTCCTTTCCCTCAGTTTAAAGGGGCAGTAAACAAAGTATCTTGGAAGTCACTTTACTGTTACAAACAGTAACTTACTGAAAGACTCCAGAAGTTAAGAAAAAAACCCCAAACAAACCCAAGGACACAAATCCAAGCACAACAAACTCAAACCGGAGTTTGTTCCACAACATGTTTGTTTACTCTGGATATTGGACAGCACTTCAACAACAGTTTCTCTGTATCCCCGGTTTTGTTTTCTCTTTCTCCTTTGGGGAAGGAGGAAGAGAATTTTCTACTTTTGTAGAAGTAGAAAATATAAATAGAAAATTGTAACAGCTGGGAGAGTAGATTCATAACCAATCCATTAAATTAAACACTTGGAGGTTCGATTCTAGTCATTAGAAGCTTACAGTGGTGACCTTTATGTTAATACCTCAGCAAACCCAGTCTTACACCAGTTAATGATATACGTAATAGCCAACATTTTTTATTACTCTTACGAAAAAGATACATTCAGATTTTTTTGCTTTTCCGTTCAGTTAAGTCTTTCAGCAGAGGGAACCATGATAACACCTCTAAAGCCGTCAAAGCAACTTCAGGACTTCGGGGAGGCCGAGGCCCCTCGCCGGCACTCCCCGCACCGCAGGCAGCGGACAGGCCGCTTCCTCCTCCTGGCCGGGGAACTCCTGTCGCAGGCCCAGAAGCGCCGAACCGGCGTCTCTCCGGGAGAGCCGGGGGGCAGCGCGGAGGG